GCTTTACACAATTGATGTGTGTATGGATTGCGATAACAGTTGTATGAGCCCCTAATAAAATGTTTAAATAAATAAATAAATAAACCCAGGCATGCATGAAAAAAAAACAAAAAACCCAGCTCCTAGCACCATGCCTGCCACACAGTGGACCCTTGACATATAGTTGTCCCATTAAAAATCATCTCAAAGAGGTTATAATATTTGGGATGTATTTAGGCCACACAGCTAGTTATTTGACATAGAGTGGGAATTAGGTTATTTACCAGTACTGTTCACAAACTATGTCCATCTGTCCAATTTTACTCTACAATCTAGTAACTATGATGAGTGATTTTTATACGTCCCCCTGTTTCTTTCACATACAGAGTGTTCTGTGGCTGTTTTTGCTTTGTTGGAAACAAGTCTACTAAAGGGCAGAGATAATACAAATTCACATACTAGATAAGAATTTTGTGTGTGTGTGTTTAGTTTTTTTGTTTTTTTAAAATCATTTTATTGGGAGCTCTTATAACTCTTATCACAATCTATACATCCATCCACTGTGTCGAGCACATTTGTACATATGTTGCCATCATTATTTTCAAAACCAGATACAAAGTTTTACACTGCTCATTTCACATTACAACTGATCTAGTTCTACTATTTTTAGAATTTAAAGATAAGTATCACATTGAAAACTGCTTTCAACCTATAAATGAATTTTTTTATTATAAATTACTGGTAGGTGGGGGTTTACACTTCAGATCACCACCTTCATATTCAACAGTTTAAGCTACTCATCAACCTCCTCAATAATGACCCTTCTCCCACTCTTTGATTTCTCTTCTCTCTCTTTCAGCTGAAAATTTAGATGATGTGATGATGGCTGGAGAAAATATTCTCATTTGAAGGGTATTTTTCAGACATCTGCTCAGGGCCAGAAACTATGCTAGGCAGTTTTAACTTTCAACCCACTTTAAAAAAAAAAATCATTTTATTAGGGGCTCATACAACTCTTATCACAATCCATCCACACATCCACTGTGTAAAGCACATGTGTACATTCATTGTCCTCATCATTCTCAAAACATTTGCTCCCCCCTTAAGACTCTGCCATCAGCTCCTCATTTCCCCCCTCCCTCCCCGTTTCATGCTGCTCTTAACACTGTTTTAGATCTTTCCAACGACACACGATAAGTCAACCTTTTTTTTACTATCGTTGGACTCAGGCCTGAGCACTCAATGCTGTGGAACCGCAGTCTGACACCCGACTGCTGATAAATGACCTGCTGCAGCAAATGTTTGACAGTCAGGCAGGGTATGTAAATACAGTGTAGCTTAATGATTAAGCACACCCTGGCTGGGGTACCAGAAAGACCCGGGAAAGGATCCCCACTGGCTGTGCTATCATAGGCAAGTTACTTAGCCTCCCCGAGTTGTCTCCTTTGTCAAAGTGACATTGAGCAATACATTATATGAATACTATTGCTATTGGATGCTGCCACGTCAGTTCAGATTCACAGTCACGCCTGGGACAGAGTAAAAGCGCCCCACGGGGTTTTCTACATCGTAAGCTTTATGTGCACAGAATGCCAGGTCTTTCTCCAGCAAAGCCCCTGTGGAGATGATCACTTCTTTTCCCCTAGAGAGACAGGGATGAGTTTGAACTGGCGAGCTTTCAGTTAGCAGCAAAGGGATTAACCACTGTGTCACCTTTCACCCACTGCCACTGAGTTGATTCTGACTGATCTCGACAACCTCATGCAGGGTTTCTGAGGCTCAATCTTTAGGGTGTTGGGCAACCTCTTTGTTCTTCCTGGGAGTGGCTGGTGGGTTTGAACCACTGACCTTGTGGTTAACAGCCTGATGCCTAAGCAACAGTGCCACCAGGGCTCTTTTTCTCAGGTCTAGTTAGTACAAATAGCATTGCTGAAGATTGGGTGCGATGATGTACATCAAGCACACAGCTCAGTGCTGGGACTTACTAACTGCTGGATAAAAGTCATTAACAGGAGGAAAAACATGATAACAGGGGTGATGGTGAATGCAATAGTGCTTGCTTGGGTTAAAAGGCTTCCTTATTTAGCTGAATTATATGAAATGTCTATAAGGGATAGAGCTATTGGATAATTTTTTTTTATATTCTGGCCAACAAATGTCAAAAAAAATTTGTTTTTCAAAACGTTGTGGTTTAAAGTAGTTTGGAAACATTAATCCACTTCAAAGCCTATAAGAAGGCATACGTTCACATTTCTTATGTTAAATACAGAGTCCCTGTAGGGTTTCAGAGCCCTGCTATTATTCGCTGGCGGGGAAGAACACAGCTGTAAATACAAAACTGCTAGGAAATTTATAGTAAGGGCAAAACGAAACCTGAATGTTTATTCAATTATTTGAATGTAATTATTTCAATGTGTAAGGATCTCTGGTAGTGTAGTGGCTCCCTGGTTGGCTGCTAACCGCAAGGTCAGCCGCTCTGAAAGAGGCGGCTTGCTGCTCTAGCAAAGAGTTACTCTCAGAACCCCCAGCTACCGGGCAGTCCTACCCGGTCCTACAGGATGGCTATGCGTCAGAACGGACTCCGTGGTAGTATTTAAATGCATAAGTGAATCTTCCTTTCTCTTTAAAAGTATAGCGTTAATAAAATCCTCACTCATTTGAGGTCCCTGACGGGTTCTCAAGTTTTTTTCTGTCTCATGATCACTACATTAGTTCATTAATTGCGTAGAAGAGAAATTGACCAGATCTAAAACTGTGTGTTGCTAAAACAATTTAACAACACTTTCTCTAAATCATTTGATATTTTCATGTACTTCTAAATATTTCACTCACCATCGCGACGGGGTCGTTGCTGCGGGTGGCGGCCAGGCTGAACTTCTTCACATGAGTGTTGGTCTCCAGCGCCTTGGCAAACTCCTTCAGGGTGGGGATCGGAATGTTCTAAGATGGGGAAGACACGAGCAGTTGAAGGACCATTCTGTGGCTCCTCAATCCCATGTTAAAGACCCACG